TCTCATATCACATATACTTGTGGCAGGCCTCCTGAACTGGAGTTGGAGGAAAGGAGCCAATAAGCATTGTTTATTATTTAGTGGCTGCCACAGACATATTACAGTTATATAAAATCATTCAGATTGCTTGTTTCTCCAGGCAGTGGTTTTTGAATACTTGGCCTGCTGTTTTTGTTTTATATTATATTTTTGGTTAAAACGGTACTTGAAAATGAAATCTACATAAAGACATCACTTTTTACCTGTCAGATTTGCAAAAATCGAAAATGGTTGATAATATGCTGTGTAGGCATAGTGAGAAAACAAGCTCTCTCAGACATTACTGGTGGGAGTGCAAAATAGAACAGCCCCTATGGAGAACAGACCAACATTATTTTCCAAAATTACAAATGCATTTACCTTTTACCGTAGCAAATCCAGCAATATGCTGCACACATTCAAAATGGCAAATGTATGAGGTCGATCATCACAGCATTGTCTATAAACACAAAAGACTGGAAAAAACTCAAGCACCAAACAAAAAGGGACTAGTTAAACTAGGGTACATCTATATAATAGAATGCCATGTAAAACAATTTAGTAAAAAGAGTCCAGAATAATATATTAAATATGCAATTTTGGAGGTAAGGGGAAAGATAAGAATATATATTTATATTTACTTATATTTGTATAGAGAAATCCTGGAAGAATATACAAGAAAGTAATTAAAGTAGCTTCCTGGGACTGAGGTGTGATGTGATGGAGAGAGGGATTGGAGTGAGACTTTTACTGTAGCATTTTAATATGTAAACTATATGAAAATGTTACCTTTTCTTGTTAATGTTCAAGATCGATATCCGGAGTGTAGGCTAATTTCCTTTTCTTCTTTTCATAGCCCAAGTTGTGAATGACCTCACTCGGAATAGATTCTTTGAAAATCCTGCCTTATGGGAGCTGCTGTTCCACAGCATTCATGATGCAGTTCTAGGCAGCCAAGCTCGAGAGGCACTCGCTGAACAAGAAGCCTCAGCGCTCCCTCCCCAGGATGACTTGGAGCCGAATGCCACTCCTGCCACTCCAGAGGCGTAGATGAGGACCTCAGCCTGGGGTTATGAGCTTCTCATGAAATTTCTAATTTACACATTTTAAACACTAGACAATAGATTTTTTTTTCTAAGGGTAAACACTAGTAGCCAAGGCTTGATTTGGAGGGTGAATGACGCATAGCAAGATGTATCTTACTTGTGTTTTTTTCAATTGAATATTTCAAAGATAAATTGGCCTCTTGCCTGCATGTGCAGTGACATTTCTGTTACTTTCTAGTATTACCCTTTTAAGCCAAGTACTTATGATTTATTTCCTTTCAGTACTTTTCCTATGAATAGGATATGCTATCACCACTCAGAGATTACCACTGTTAACACCTTAATGTATGTCCTTCCAGATCTTTTTCTATGCATATTCATTTACATTTTTTTATTATTTCAACTATTTAATCAAACTTCAAAATCACAGATTTTCAATAATAATTTTAAAAGACAATTATGTATAGCTTTGAATCTTTAGAGGTTAAATTTGTAAATGGAAACCAAAATAAGATCATATCTACATAGTGTTTTAAAACCTATTTTTTTAATCAACAATCTCTACTTTCTTATTTCAGAACATTTTGTTTGTTTGTTTGTTTGTAGAGATGGGGACTCACTGTGTTGCCCAGGCTGGTCTTGAACTCCTGGCCTCAAGTAATCCTCCTGCCTCACCTTCCCAAAGTGTAGAATTACAGAATATTTGTACCTCAGACCTTATTCAGATTTTCCCAATTGTCCCCAAATTTGCAGTTGGTTTGTCCAAACTGGTATTCTATGACTTTACGTTGCAACTGGTCATGTCTCTTTAAGTCCCTTAAGTCTATTGTAATGCAGCACAGTTCCTTTTCTTATAACATTGACTTGGTAAAGCTGAGGCAGTTGTCCTGTAGAATCCTGTCTTGTGAATTTATCAAGTTGCTTTTTCATGGTGGTGTTTAGCTTGTTTCTTTATTCCCTGAACTACCTACAACCTAGAAGTTAAAGGCTTCATGAATTCAAGTTAAAACATTTTGTGCTAGAAGATATCATAGGTAAGAAACACGCTTCATATCGCATCATATCAGAAAACACGTAATACCTAATTGACCTTCCATTACCAGTGCTATGCTGTAATAGATCACTGGATTGGCATGACAGTCTGATCCTCCAGTTTGGTTCTCTCCTTTGTGACTACAGACTTATCTGTATGGCTTTGACATTGAATGAATGTCCAGTTCCCCATTAGCCATTTCAGCCAGGAGTTTTAACATCAGTGGTAATTCTTGCCTAAATCAGTAATTTTATTAAGGTTTGTGGATTTTTTTCTAATTCTCTCATTTCTTCTTCATTTAGGAGTTGGTCGTTGTATGTAAACTATAGTTTTCCTTCAACTTGAGTTATTTGGTCATCCTTAAATACAGTTCTTACTAAAAAGGCAAGTTGAATGTTTTATTATTTCAACTTAATTATCAACATCAAAGTGAAGAATTGATTTAATGGATGGGGACAAATTAGGGTTTTTTAGATTTCTCTTTTTTAGTATAATTGTAGCCTCATGAATTTTCATAGTTTGAATGTGTTTCAGTTCAATATATTCTTTTTGATGCTTGAATTGTCACAACTGTGACCAATGGAAGTCCCTAGAAGCTTTGTTGTTCTTACTAATAGTAAAGTAGGCTTGAAGACCATGCTTTTAAGAATGCTAACCCCCAGGTCTAATTGAATATCTTCCTTCAAAGTCCGTAAGAGTTATCAGTTAATTCATCAAACTCAGTTTTTAGCCTATGAGTAAAATGCTTATCTTAATCATTCCTTATAGTTGATACATTATAGAAACATGGAATGGCAATGTCAATTTGTCATTGAAAGTTCGTGCTCTTGTGGTTGTTTCTAACTACCAGCTTACTGCAAATCAAAACATAGGCATTAGCCAACCTGTCTACAGCCTCTTCTACCAAGAGTTCCTGCTAATAATGAGTTTGTCTTCTTTTATGTTTTCTTATTATCTCCTTGTTTTAGATTTCATGAAGGAGATACTGCCAGGAGAAAAGTAGTCAGAATCCCAGTAGAATTATGCTAGGATGGCCTACTTGCAACCAAACCCCATGGTTTGTTTGCTTTAACTCCCATCAGGTTTTTCAGTGTCTTTATTAATTTAATTCAAAGTAGACCCCCTCCCTTCTAATCAATAATTTATTTAGATCTAGAGTGAAGTTAGATTTCCATACAGTCATTTCCTTTGCAGTCACCACACACAAGACCAGATACATCTGCATTCTGATACAGACTGCCTTCTGAGAGAGCATGTAGTTGTAGACACTCAGCGTATACTAGAAACTTTTGTAAAAGGGCCCATGTCATTTCAGCCATTTAATAGAATTTAAGGATTTTAAACAATGTTATAAACGACTTCACTGCATATTCTTTAGCACTAGTCTTCAACAAATGCCTTCCATACAGTAGATACTCAAGTCCCAGTGATTGGAAGATTGATAGTAGTGTACAAAAAAGCTGTCTATGGCTTGCATGTTTGTATTTAACTTTTCCTGTTCTTTAATTTTTACACTGTTCTGAATAGAATTCTATTGTGTACATAAAAAGCACCTAAGTCTTATTGAAGGTGGGAAAATATATTTTTGTTTTAGCGTTTTGTTTAGCATCTGAGAACATGAGTGCATTTCAAAATAAGTAACATTTCCCCTATATGTAAATATGTCAGAATGTTAGAATTATTTCATACAGTGGAATATTTCCTGACGTTTTTTGTCTTACCGTCTTATCTCTTACCTTTCAAGTAATTGCTATATAAGCCCACCTGTTCTTTCTGGGCCTAATAGCTGCTAGTGTGTGCCTTTCTGTGTTACCCAAATTCAGATTCATATTGTCCTATCAAAATGGGCATAATCTACGTTGATATTTATAGGGACTGGACTAGCCTTATTTTATGACAATATGGGACAGCTCTGTTTTCAGGAAGGTCCCATAAAGAGAAGTCCTTTCAATCTCTGCCTCATGGATGAATGGAGTGTTTGAAAACAACTATGACTCAGGGCCCAGGAAACTCCAGTTCATTTTATAGACATTGACTCTGTATAAGCTTATGGCAGTTGATCATGGGATCCCAATTGCCAATCTCATCTGCAGTGGGATCCAGAGAAACAATGAAGGGTATGGATCCTCTTCAAGCCCTGGAGTTAGCTCATTTTGTGGTTTTCAGGTAACATCTAAAACATCCACACTGCATGGTTTATTCCTGTATCCTTACGTGTTGAGCAGAGAAAGTACCAGCCTCCAAGTACACATTTTGAGAAAATGAGTCTGCCCTCTTGTGTGTATGAAGAAAAGAGAGGGTGGCAAACCCAGAGAATCTGCCCCAGGGCGGGTAGGTTTATGTTTTTCTGTGTGGTGGGTGGGGGGGTGCCCTTGTGTGGGGATGAGGGAGGAAGCGGGAGGGAAAATGTGGTGGGGAAGGCTTTATCTATCATGTCAGCCCCTTTAAAGATAGCAAATCAATTTAAATTCTAAAATCAAACAAAATTTCCTTGGTGTGAGCCTGTAGGCTTTAGTGAGTGCAAAATGCTCTTGGTCTTTTTCAGTGTACCTTTCAGGAATCCTTTTACAAGGTTGAAGTTCGGTATGTTTAGATTCTAGATAGTATGTTTTGAATGTTGATCAAAGTTTGAAACTGATAAAAAGTTTTATCTAATTCTCCAAACATATACCCAACCAAAATGCATGCAATGGTTTTGAAACCCCTCCAATCCCAACAACAAAATGTTAAAAGCTAGCACTGCACCAGGTAGCATGTCTGCTTACTGACTTAACGAGTCAATCAAGTTTGAGCACCTTAAAAATCTACCTTGCCTTCCAGAAAGGCTTACCAGGCTTTTCGTTGTACTGGAGTACATAGCATTTCACCTTATGTAATAAGTGAACCTGAGAAGCATCATGAAAATTGTCTGTAAATCTAATCACTTTTTAAGTGTTAAAAAGTTGTTTAAGGAACTCTACAGCATATTTTTGTGAAGTCATAAACCCTTTGTATCCTGACTTATCAACACCCTGATACATATGTATATATATATGTGCATCTACACACATGTATATGCATGCACACACATATCTTAGGTAGAGGGAGTTACCAGTAAATGTATATTTTATCTTTTTAAACGGGATACAAACATGCTGATCTAGACAATGTTGATGCTATCTGCATATACATGCCTAGGCAGAAACATCCAAATTTTTCAAATAATTTATCATGTATTTGATGTGTGGCCAGTTAGATTTTTATCATGTACTTAACTGAAATGTCAAGATTATTCTGTCTATATATGTTAGATCTGAGAGCTCAACATACCCAATTTGTCTTGAATTGGTGTATATGGGCATGTGGCTATATGAAAAAGTGGAAAGACTTCAAAGTGTGTTCTAAATGCTTACATTTATTTAATGAAAACATTCAAAAACATGTATCTTCAGTCATTTACTTGAGTATATTTTATTGTAAGCATAACCTGAAAATACTTTGCTCTATTTCATTCCTCAAGAAAGATTACGGCAGGGTTAGAAAAAAAGATGAATTTTTCTGATCAAGTTTACAAAATTGAAAAAGCAAGAAAGAATGAATACTGGTTGGATTTTATGAATGAAGGGCTTTAATTTTTTTTTACTTGAAGACTTTCATAAATTTAAACACTTCAATGCAACAATTACATCATTTTCTATGTCATCAACTTTTTCTTTTGTGAATTAAACTTATGCAGCTCTCATTGTGCAACTTATTTATTACTATTGAACTTCAATAAAAATATTCCTTATTGTGCTTTGGTCTCAGTATTGGGGGAAGAGGTAATTGTGGTGGAAGATGGGATTTGGTGGTGGTTGCACAAGAAGTAATTTTAAAGAGATCTGTTGAGGATTCTAATACCACCTTTATTTTGAAAATACCTCACTATAGAACAGAAGTCTAAAAGGAATGTTACCAAAATTTTAAACCATTAATTTATAAAATGAAAATAATCACTTCTCTATATGAAGCCAATCCCAGATTTTCTAAATTAATTATAT